GATGCGTCGCCGGACTCGAGGAAATTCCAAACCGCTTTCCACACTTTCCCAAGCTGCCCTGCACAGGCGTCTGCGTCCGCGCTACTGTAAGCAAGCATTGCGCTGCCAAGTACCTGGACCCACGCCGGGGGCAGGGTGACGTCGGCTCTGGATGGCGGTGACGATAATACGGCTTTGAGCACGTTAGGAATTTCTCCGGTGACATTGCTTTCCTCGCTGTCTGCGGAAAACAGATCCGACAATATGGAATAGGCTGATTGCGAAAGATACGGATTGCCGAGGCGGGGCAGACTGAGTAACGATGTAGTGATAGAGGGCAGCGACTAGAATACAAGATAAGCTTGAGATATTCGTTCGTGCTCGTCCAAACAAACAGGCTCACTGTAGGCGGGAGTTTGAGAAGTATCGGTCTCAGGAAGGCCAATGTGTGTATAGCGGAATCGGTCGCAGATGTATCAGATGTTTTTGAGGCGCCTTTCGTACGCGGAATCGCACCTGTGCTTGCCGTACCAAGCGAGGATATGACCCAGTCCGCGACGACATCAGCGTACGGATGCCGTGCCATCGGGCTGGGAGGAACCGCCAAAACGTCTTTCACCACATCGGCGGCCTTTCTCCGCACCTTCGGTCTCGAATCGAGAGATAGCTGCAATATCGATGCGAACGACTGCCGTATTCCCTGCGTTTCGAGTTGCACCCGATCAAGTGCTTGGAGGATGGCGCTGTATAGGGACAGCTGGGATCGCAAAGGCGGCGCATTTGCAGTCAAAAGGGGAAATAGTGGTGCAGTCAGAGATAACACGGTATTCAGGTTCGTGCGTATAATCGGTGGAGGGACGAAAGGGGCGACTAGAGCAAGCAGGTAGAGTTCAGCGGGCAAGACATCGCCGTCGTTTAAGCCCAAGTCCTTCTTCTGTAGTGTCCCTTCTAGCGTGGTCAAAAGAGCGGCGTAGTATGCTGTTGGCGATTTTTCAGCATTCTGCTCCTTGAACGTAGACTCCAAGGCGCGCAGGAGAGTCGCCGGCGTTTTCTGGTGTGCAAGATTGGAGGATGTGTGCGGCCGGATTTTTGCTAGAGCGTCCTCCATGTTGCTCTCGAGATGGGGGTTCCGCACGAGATCCTCGGTGCGGTTTCTACGCACGACAGATGGTGAAGAAAACGAGCTAGGTTTAGTTTCAAGTCGAGAAATCGACCGTTCTGCTGTTTAGAGGATTGCAATAATTTTTGATTAGAATGATCGGCTATGCCACGTGCGCGGGGACGGGGGAGAACGTGGTCTGCTGCCGATGCACGTCGTCGGTCGCCGTGCGTTACTTATTTCTCTCCTTACGCATCACAAACACCCATGCTTTGAGCGCACACCAAGTATCAGGACTAGTAGCAGTCCATTAGTACCATGGCAGAAGGAACGGCGACACCCTGGTCGTATTTTCTGGTCCGGTACGCCTTTTGCATCCTTCAGTTCTTTCCTTTTTGGAACAGCGCTAACGGCGCGCTCGAACGCTGTGAATTACAGGCTTCTCTTCAAGTTCGTGCTCAAGATATTTTACGGGACGATCGTTGTCGAGAACGCCGAGCTCATACCTCCGAATGGCGTACCATGGTGAGCTCTGCGCATTTCATCATTTTCCATGTCTGACGTATATTACCCCGCTATATAGCATTGTGTCTGCGAACCATAGCAATTCCCTCACAGATGCAGTGTGAGGATTCTTTATCTCCTTGTCTCACAAAATGCTGAGATGCCTGGATATAGACTGCTTGTTGGCGCGGTCTCGTCCAAGGTGCGTATTTTTCTCTTTCCCGAAAGAAATTGCGGATTGCTCACAGTTACGAATTTAGAAACGCAACATGCTTAGGCTCACTGCGAAATCTACGCAATTCGGCCACAAGACGTTCACCAGCTGGCTTATAGAATCTGCTGGTACAGTTCCCATTAAACGCCGGAAAGACTTTGTGGACGGTGCCGTCGACAACACCGACGCTATGGAAAAGTTATTGGAGGTTGGGTCGTGCATGTTCGCTCCATGTCGTCTCTAACGGCCTCAACATCTAGGTATTGGAACTTGGGGACGCTATTTGCCTTTTCCCCGAAGGCATGAGCAGATATCATCCCACCATGGCTCCACTCAAGACCGGAGGTAAATCTACAACTTTGTGGGAGAAATAGCACTAAACGCGTGCTAGTTGCTCGTATCATATCGGACTCCCTCACGCGAAATCGCGACAAGCCCGACTACGAGGTCGACCTACTGACGTGCTCGATCACCTATATGTTGGTCAATACCTCTTCATACTGCTCCGTTGATTTCTTACATCCATCTCAGGCATCGGCAACATTGGCGTTCGGATGTCCTGATCACCTTCCACTCACCGATGAAATTCCGCGTGCAGGACAACCCCGAACTGCTCGCACCCGTTGAGTACGAGCAGATCCGTTCACTCACCGCGCGGATGTACCAGCAGATCAGCTCCGGCACCATCGACTCGCCGTCGTGGGATCTCGTCAGGACCGCGAAGCTTGCCGCTCGACTCTACGCGCCGCTGGGAACGAGGATGAGTCTGGGGGATCATGTGCGCGTGGTTGCGACTTTTCTGGATGCGTTCAAGACTTCTGAAGAGGCTCGGCACGAGAATGCGATCATGGGCCATGACGAGAACGACGAGCAGGATGAGCCCGAGCATCCTTCTCTTGAGTCACTGCGCCGTGACCTAAAGGTAAGTACTATCCCACTTTCACAAACAAGTACTTACATTACGGTATATCACAGACCTATCAAGACCAGTTGTCGCGCTGGGGCATCAAGGACGATCGCATCCGACGACCACTGACTCGCCGCGTTATCCTTAAGCGTATCGTCATCCGTCTCGTGTGGTCCCTGTTCCTATTCACGATATCACTCCCCGGCCTCGCCCTCTGGGTCCCCGTCTTCCTAACCACCTTCTACGCCGTGCACAATTTCAAGAAAAGCGGCCCCATCTGGGATACCTGGGACGAAATCGCGCAGTACAAGCTCATCTACGGACTCATGTCCGGGCTCTGCGTATGGACGGCCGCCGTGCTCCTCACCCTCCCCTTCGCGTTCATCACGTTCTTCCTCGTGCCTGCGCTCATGTGGATCACGCTCCGCTGGCTCGAGGACGCGGTCTCGGCGTTCCGCGCGTTCGCGGCGCTGGTGCGGCTGCTGCGTGTGGGGAAGGCGACGCTGGGGAATATGCACGAGCGCCGCGCGGATTTGCACAGCCGCGTGATGGGGCTCGCGGTGGGGACGCTCGAGCTGCCGGAGGATCCGGAGGTGTATTTCGTGGAGAGCGGGGGGAAGGAGAAGGGGCGCGTGCGCAGCAAGTGGGAGAGCGGGGCACGGTACTTTTCGGTGAGGAGGCGGAGAAAGAGGGATTGGAATGAGACGCTCCGGCTGTACGACAAGGTCGACTACCCGGAGGACGGGTGATCTAGTTGGTATTGAGATAGAGACTTTACTGAATGTTGGCATCTTTCTTGCGCATAGTATGGATGACATATTTATGGAGTCGTGTATCATATTCGTCTCTAACTGGTGCGACTAAAGCCTGGTTGAAGACAAGTACAAATCATTGTGACGCCCCTGAGCGAGGATACAAGTTAGGTGCTACATAATATCGCGATGAGATGGCCTAAGAGCTGGGATGCACGGATCGCGACTTGTTCAAAGGGAGGTGAACGACGAGATTTCCGGGGTAAAAAATAGCAAGTTGCAAAACACAAACGCTCGGCAGTAATGTACACATGAAAAGGGGTGGTATGCGCTAGTAAGAACTTTCGTGTATCTATGAATGTGAAGGTTGAGCGGGGGCTACGGACAACACGAGCGGGGATATAATCATGGGGGTTCCACATCAGACATATATCCATGAGGGTTCAATGTTCATCCTTCGATTGGCCTGTAGGCTCTGTTCCCGGCAGCCCATTTGTGGCCCTTGTCAGCCGATATACCGGTCGTGACTACACCAGCTGTGACGGAGATGCCGACGACCCAAGACACCACGTTTAAGATGTAACCGGTGCCTGCACGCGCCAATGTAAGTAGATATCTCTAGAGTACCAAATATCGAACCAGTCACTTACCTGGTTTTGCCTCGCTGAAGTGAGAGAACTTCGAGGTACGATAGATTTCCGTAACGATGATGAAGGTCGCGAGTTGGAAAACGGCTATGAGAACGAGTTTAATGTCATATCAAACGTATATAGCGTAAATCATACCGTGAACAGCTACAAATGCAGCGATAGCTCTCCAGACCCTCCTCCTCCTCGAGTGGGTGCTGACGCCGATCAGGATGGCCACCAGCGCCATGGCAGCGAACCCGATACCCAGCTCGGTCAGATATGTAGCACTGCCCCAGGAGGTGCAGAATCCCCTGTTATCCGTCTCGCAAGCATCGCGCACGCGGAGCGGGAAAGCGCGGCATTCGTAATCGGTGTACGCGATGACACTGCTGTTATCCGGTCCCGGGATTTCGACGACCTGACGCTCGCACCGCTTCGTCAACCCATAGCGAACGATGGTCTTGCTGCGGGCTATTCCTGTGCCCTTGACAGTCAACCTGAGATAATGCACGCGTGAGACCGACGGTAAGCATAGTAAGCATCGCTGGACCGCACCAATCCCCACGGCGTGCAGAGATGATATTCTGAGGTATTGCGAAAGGAGTCAGTGCCCATCCGAATAGCGGGAGTGTTGGTCGAGGAGACGCACAATTATCAGGGTTGCAAGCACCATAAAAAAGGTGACCACATAGGATGTTTTCCTCATCTTGGGTGACGGTCTGAGGGAAAGAGAGAGCGTTTACAGCACCACAGCTGTCGAACAGTCGGCTGTTGCTCGACAAGCAGCACAGATGACGGTTGGACGCGCCACACCCACTTTAGGCATGCAGACTCTCCCACGGCTTCACGTTGTCTCCACTTTATAGAGTTGGGACGCCTCTTGGTTACAAAGCCACCCGATGACCTCTGCCATCAAGTCCCTGTCGATTAGTGGTTAAATCATCTCGTTGTGGAAGATTCAACAGCGAGTTGCAATCGTCAACCGAGAAGCCGGAGGTTCGAATCCTCCTCGGGACATTTTTGCACTTTCCGAGTCCCTCTTCAGATCGTGGCGTTTATTTTGGCTTGACCTTGAAGCTATCCTCTTATATCCTCTCCATACCATTAATATTGTCAGTACTAGTGTCCGCGACGTCGACTATCATTAACATTGTGACCTTGTATCTGTTGACCCACTTTGTTCAATGATGAGCTGTGTGAGCGGCGCGAGTGCTTACGCGCATTCCGCAGCACGTGATGGATGCGGACAAGGCCTCGCTCCAAGACGCCGCCTCCTCTTGTCTTCCTACTTTGACGTCCTCCGTCTTTCCCTTATCCTCAACACACCATTCATCTCTATCTTGACCTCTTGCTCCAGAATGCCCGTGGAATCGCAAGTTGAAAAGAGCCGTAGGTTTCAGTCCACAAGCTCCGGTCGACAGTAGTGAGCTAACTACATAGCCTCACAATAGCGACCTCGCCCGCTTCAGCACAACCTACTCGGTGTGTAACCAATTCAGCCTACGTGAAGGCATATCTGACTGCTCTCTCTTACTATTAGCGATGGCGGGAACCCCGCCGCCCTCGACTTGCCATTGGCCACACCCCGATTCTCTGACTCTCCAAATGCACGTTCCAAAACCATCACAGTCGCGGAGGGCGTGGAGACTCATGGCGTGCGTCGTGTCTTTGCATCGCGCTGCGTATATGCTCTGACGTAGCCGTAGATCCTGAACCGCCACGCGCTCAACAATGCCGCCTACCAGATTGGCGTCTCAGAAGACAAGGGCACGCGAAGAACCATGGAAGATGCACATTCCTTCGTTGTCGATTTCGCAGGTGTGCGGGGTCAAGGTTTCTTTGCTGTATTCGATGGACATGCTGGAAAACATGCGGCGGAATGGTGTGGCGGTCATTTCCACGAGGTGAGCTCGGCAGATCTTGCCCCGGCTACTCTTCAGTCTGACACTCCTATGCAGACACTCCTCGAATCCCTACGCGCCTCACCTGCATTGCCGATCCCTGATGTGCTCAACCAGACGTTCCACAACGTCGACCTGCGCTTATCTCAGATGTGCGAAGAGTCCGAAGGGAAGATCCACTCGGGCTGCACGGCCGTGACCGCGTTCCTCCGCGTCGAGGACGCAGACGGGCAGCAATCCTTCCTGCACGCGATCCCCGATGCCCCGCGCGTCGAATCGCCCACGATTGGCGACGCGGACAGCGCCAACGTCGACAGCGGGTCGGAAAGCCACAGCCCCGTCTCCGGCGAGGACGACCGGCCCAAGAAGAAAAAGAAGAGCAGCACGAGCCGGATAAAACACGCACTGAAGAGTCTTGGGGGAGGCGGATCCTCCTCCGGCCCGTCTACGCCCCGATCCGCGTCGCCAGGAACCCCCGATCCGCGGCACCTCGTGCATACTGCGCAGGGTGGCGTCATCGTTTCGCCGCCCGGTAACGCGCGGCGCGTGCTGTATACGGCGAATGCGGGCGACGCGCGCGGGGTGCTGTGTCGGAACGGCAAGGCTGTGCGGCTGACGTACGACCATAAGGGGACGGACAAGCAGGAGGCGAAGCGGATTACGGACGCGGGGGGTTTTGTGATGAGCGGAAGGGTGAATGGCGTGCTCGCGGTGACGCGGAGCTTGGGCGATTCGTCTATGAAGGATTTCGTGGTGGGCGCACCGTACACCACGGAGACCGAGCTGTGCAGTGAGGACGAGTTCTTGATCCTGGCGTGCGATGGGGTGAGTCCTCCTTCTATATCGTGTTGCTGCGTACACTGAGCTTCGTGCAGCTTTGGGATGTTGCGAGCGATCAGGCGGCGGTTGACCTCGTGCGCGAGATCGAGGATGCGCAGTACGCGAGCGAGAAACTCCTCAAATACGCGCTGAGCCAGCATACCACGGACAACGTCACAGTGCTCATCATACGGTTCAAGAGCAACCCTTCAGCATAACACCCTCATTTTCAACAAATTGTACACGCAATGATACTCTGTCCGCGGCATTTCAGCGCGCTAATCCATCGATTTTTGACTACCTTGAGGCGAGTAGAGTTGACTAGCTTGACTGGTCGATGGGCTTGGTGTGACTTTTGCTGTGATACTGAATCATCCGGTTGTGTTGTAGGGCCACATTAAACACGAACAGTTTTTCCATTTCCCGATCTCGCCACTCTTTTGTTTTGTGAGAGCGTTGTGTATTCTTCGTATACTGAACTGTAGCAGGTCCTCACGGTCGATGAACACTATAAAGCACTGCATTGCGCATCACAATATAACAGATCACAATCTTAAATCCACTGTTCAGTGTTCACTGCAGGCTGGCAGCAGCCAAAATCAAGGTTGCCAGTCCGCGACGGTCCTCGATCATTTCCGAGTCGTCATTGGCCCGGAGGTATTTCGCTTTATGTACTACAGCATTTCGTATTCAAAAGTTCGAGACTCCCTCTCGCACACTCGTGTTCGCCACGATTTCACTGACCACAACCATCAACGCCAACGCCATAACTATTGACCGGAAAGCACTTACGATCTCTTCTTTGACGTTGGCAAGGCCGCAACTTGAATGTCACAGTGGAACAAGGACCAGTGGGGCGCTCAGCCCCAGCCTCAAGCGCAATATGCACAGAACAACGGCGGCCCCTCTCCCGGGTACGCGCCCGCATACGCCCAGCCAGCGCCATACGGCGATCAGACGGGAGCAGGAGAGTACGAGGCCAAATCGCCCTACGAGGGGGACCGCTTCAAGCCCAAAAAACGCGTCAACGATGTAGCGTTCCTCGTCCTCTTCATCCTGCAGGTGCGCCTTGTCCCAAGCCTGCCTCCGCGACTTGTCACTTGGTGCTAACGCGTCGTCTCAGTTTCTGGGCTTTGCGGCTCTCTCTGGGATAGCCATAAACACGTGGATATCTAGCGGTGGACTCGGTGGCGGGCTGGGGAAAGGCAGTACGGGGACGGCGGTGACTTTGAATAAGTCGACGGTGTACCTGCTGTTGCTGGTCACCGCTGCGGCGCTGCTCCTGTCCACCGCGTATATTATGCTGACGCGCACGTTTACGCGCCTTATTATGCACGCTACGCTCATTTTATCTATTGCGTTGAATATGTAGGTTATTTGTTGCTGGTGTGGCCTCTGGAAACTGCTAATTTGGTATTAATATCAGCGGCATTTGCGTCTATTACTGGATCACAAAATACTACTGTGAGTTCGTGTCCATGGCCTAGCGCAAAGATCTCTCCACTGACCTGAGGGACGACAGCTGGAGCCATAATATTTACCATCATCGCCTTGTTCTCCGTCCTGTCATACTGGGGGATGAGATCACGCATCCCTCTAGCATCGCTCCTCCTGCAAGTCGTCATAGATGTGTCGAACCACCACAAGAGCGTCTACGTTGTCGCGTTTATTGCGCTTTTCTTGCAGGCCGCGTTGAGCGTGTAAGCCTCTTTCCCGCATACGCCCAGCATTCCAAAATACACTGACCTGAAATTGCTCGGACAGCTGGTTCACTTTCACCGCCATTGCGACGTACTCGAAATGGACGCCTAACAACCCCTGTTAGTCAAGAAAACCAATGTTCGTTGTATAAGTGTTTCTAATCGCGCGTCGTAGCTTGCGGCCAAGGCAGCTCCTGCTCATCCGGGAAGGTCGCGGGACTTATATTCTTCGAGACGTTTTCCTACCTATGGACGTCCCAGGTGATCGGCAATGTCGCTCTCGCTACGCTTGCTGGCGGCCCGTACGGAAGTCTGTCTTTTTCCCCTTCATCGTGATAGCTAGGGCAGGTATGCTGATAATGGCGAATAGGTTGGTACTACTTTGGTCCTAGAGAGCAGGGCGAGATGGTACGTACTCACAATCGAAGCTACATGTCGAAGACGCTGACGCCCTGATTTCTGCGTCAATAGCCGAAACACCCTACTCTGTCGGCATTCAGCCGCGCCTCAACGCTCTCCCTCGGATCCATTGCGTTTGGGTCGCTAATCGTCACGCTCCTCGAAATTCTCAAGATGGTGCTCAACGCCGTGAGGCAGAACGCGAACGCCGACGGTCACCGTGAGTATTCGGTATCGCGTTATGCGGGTTGTTGGCTTGTTCTGACAACACATGTTGCAGCTGTGGAGGCGTGTTTGGCATGTTGCGCGGAGTGCTTTGTGGGCTGCATCCAAGGGATGGTCGAGTACTTTAATAGGTACGCTAGCGTCTCGCGATTTGCTGGGTTTGAGTGCTAACCTCCCATTGTCCTGAAGATATGCATAAATCGAGATAGGTAATATCAATCTCCTTTTTTCTGGAACTATGTGGCGTGCTAAGTGCATGACGTGCCAGCATTGTACGGAAAACCGTATATACAGGCCGCAAAGGACACATGGAGGATGTTCAAAGATCGCGGTAAGCCACCAACCTTCCTTCCTGTATGACGTTCAAGTCTGCTTATGCTGCATCGAAATCAGGCATTGACACGATCGTCAACGATTCGCTGGTGGGAATGAGTGAGTTTCCGTGTCTGCGTCTTCCGTTGCATAAAACTCATAGACGCTAGCGCTCACCTGGGGCGCGTATGCGGTCGGCATGCTGTCCTCACTCTTCGCGTACCTCTATCTTCGCTGTGAGTGGCTACTCCTCCCCGCCAGCTTGTGTATAAATTGCTAATGGCATGACTAGTCACTTCCCCGTCGTACAATGCGGATGGCCAGTACACTGCACCTGTGATACTGTTCGCGTTCCTCATCGGCCTGCAATGCTGTGAGTGCTGTGTATATGAAAACACAGGAAATAGCGGCGCTAACGTGTCAAATATACAGCGTTGACGCTCTCCTCTGCGATAGAGGCTGGCGTATCCACCATGTACGTTGCGCCCGGCGTAATTTCCTTGACCTCCCCGTGTACTGAAGATGATGCGCAGATTCGTCGGACTGGGGGAAGACCCGCAGGTGCTGGCTGTTCGTGCACCGGAATTGTTCAACGTACGGTCCTGTTTTTGGTTCTGGTCCAGACTGAGGCTCATTGTGCATCATTGCTTTAGATGATTGC